AAACCCCTCCCCAGCCAAACAGCCAAGCTGACAGCCAGCCCAGCCCTCACCCTGCAGAGCTCCCAGTCTGCTGGGGAAGATGCTCCTTCAGTCACCAATATGTTCTTTTCATAAAGGACAAATAAATAACAAATACTGTTTGAGAGCTGAAATGTCAACACGCGTGATTCATCACTGCCTTCATCAGTGATGCCAGTTCAGGAGAGAACACCACTCTCCCAGATTACTTCCCTGCCATGAGCTCACCCAGCATCGTTCCTGAGCAGCACCAGGGCCCCGGATCCGGCGTGTGGAGACCTGTCTGTGCAGGAATAGTAACATGAACTCACCGGGATCCGGCGTGTTCCTCAAGAATCTACGTGTGCCTCTGTCAAATCAGCTCTTAAGGATTCCTACCTCGGGTTAAACTTGATATAACTCTGAATAACTCTCACCTTTGCAAAGCAGTGGGATCGGTGGAAGAGGGGAAAAAAAAAAAAAGCCACTCAAATTTTAAATTCCAAAAAAACCCAATGTTTTTAGTTAATAAGCCCTTTGCTCCGAGCAGGAAAAAAGCTTATAAAATATCACAAAAATGACTGAGGAAGCAAAACTTAAGAGCAAGGTTTGCTTTATGCAGAAGGCACACAAACCCAACCATTACACACATTTTATAAAAGCCATGAATAAGTAATGATTCCTTTGAAATCAAACAATGACGCAACGTGGCACAAACCCAAACTTGAGTCAAATAAGCACAAGGTACTTTTTATGTTTTATCATTACTAATTAATGTTCTCTTCCAGAGGGTTGTTTTTTTTTTTTTTTCGAGATGGAGCTTCTCACGCCACAGCATAAATTCTGTTATTTGACAAATTTTGGAAAGACATGGAGTAAGTGCTGCCCAGGAAGAAATCCAGAGTGCTCAGGGAACTCAGATTATTCCAATATTTCTCCTCCTGAGGAGCTGAAACTCCACCTTCCCATTGCCACAGCACCCTAAACATACAGCATTTTTATTCTCAACCCAGTAACTTCTGTTCTCCATCAGAATCCCACAGCCAATTCCATGCTAAATTCCTCTCCAGTGTTTCCAGTACCCTCATCATTAAACTACATCCTTTTATCCCACACTGCTGAAGTAGAACCTCAAGGAACTCTATTACATGGGACAATTCCAAGGCTGGGCTCTAAATTCTCAATTCCTCCCTTCCTGATCTAAGTACACAAAACAACCTACTACCTTCTCTAATTAATGTAGAGTTTGTATTTAAATTAATTACCTTTTAAATGAATGTAAACCAAACAACTACATTTGAGCCCCAATACAATAACGGGGCTGGAATCATTCTAAGTGACATAAGTAGAATTTGATTTTTCAAAGCTCATAAAACCCAGTAGGAAAATAAACCAGAGACGAATGATCCAGTTCACTGGATCAAATATTTGCAGGTGCAGTGAGCTCCAAATGCTAATTTACCTCCAGTGAGCACATTCTCCACCTTCAAGTTCAAATGAACGTGTCATTCCGGGCTGGTTTGGACTGGGATTGGAGTTAAGTTTCCTCACAGTAGCTCCTGTGGGGCCATGTTTTGGATGAAAACATCAAGCACAAGAGTCAACCAAGCAGCAGGCTCAGTTCTGCTCCCACTGCTGGTGTGGAAACCTCCCACAGCCCTTACTGGTAATGTCACCATGTCCTGTGTCACCACAGAGCTTGTGCACGTCCTACGGATGCTGAAAGAATTCCTAGAGCTTGGCACATATTTATCAATGGGAAACAAAGAGCAAGACACCCTGAAATTACTGATGGGGCTGATCACAAAGGTTATAATCAGTGAGGTAACAAAGGCTTTGAAAGACTGTATTTGTGTAGGACTAAACATAAATAAACCACGTCCACTGTGAGGTGCCATCCTAAGGCTTTGTGCAACACTCCAGACACGAGTTCCCAGCTGGCATCAACCACTCAGAGCTCAGGGCTGCCATGAAGGACAGAGCAGCCACTATTTCCCACTCCTGCATCCTCCTCCTGCCACCCTCATGTCCCCCAGGTCAGGTTCAGATTATTGATCCAGCGAGAAACGAACTCCACAAAATAAAGAGTGGTCGTTCACCCAGCTCAGGGGTTTGACAGGGGACCAGAGAGAGGGTGGGTGGGAGAACAGGGAGGAGAGGTCACTGATTCAGCACCAGCCCTTGCCATCAGCTCTGCCTCAGCAAGAAACGACCCTCAGAGCCATTTGCTCACCCGGACGTCAAAGGAGATCATCTTGCCACATCTGCTCGAAAGGAAATTCGTCCTCAAAAGTCGAAAAGAGTCAATGTGTATACGTGAAAAAGGCAAGAAAGCAGGATTTTGTTTTTGTAGAAAAAATATCTGAAAGAAAAATATTTTTTTTAATGCTGCACCACGTGGGGTTACAGGTGTTACCAGCCTCTCAGCTCAACCACCTCTAGAAAATGTAAACTGAGATAAAACACAAAGAGACATAATCCTTCTCTTTTTTTAATGAGAAAAACCATGCACTAAGTTGGGAGAGTCACAGGTTTCTTTTTTAATATGCCAAGGGGTTGTTTTTAGAGTTTTCTGGCTGCCTTCTTATTGTTTTCCTTTTGCTACCTAATAAAAAGACACAATATACTATCACAAATTTTAACAAGCATCCTGAAATTAAACAAAATATAAGATTATAAACTAACAAAGATATACTATAAACAACTTCATACATCACAAAGCAGGCCTTGCATTAAATTGTTCTTCTGGAAACTTATATATAAACCCAAACCTGAAGAGCTCACAGACTACACAGATCCACACTTGGGCCTTACACAGTTTGCATTTATGGTCATTAATATTGATAAAGGAGAATTTGCAAGCAGGAAGTTAGGGATGCTTGTCTGTAATGTATTAAAAAATTCATCTTTTAAAAATTCCCTGCACATATCAGGCACACTCATGGATTTCTCAACATCAACATATATATCACTGGTTTCCAAAGGTTTAATTGAAAGTAAATGCAGAATATGTGACCTGAAATGTTAAGAGGTAACTCAGTACCTTAGAAGACATATTTTTGGCCAGAATATGTATTTCAATTAAAAACAACCCAGAAGCTCACACAGGATCATGGGAAAACCAATGGAAAAGACAGAGAGATGAGACCAAGACAGGAACTGCCACAACGCAATCAATACTGATAAGGAGTTTATTTTCTAAAATTCTATTACTCAGCCAATTACACCGAATATGTAACCAGTAATTCACACTGTAATTACCAGTCTACACTGCAGGCCTGTCTGCTCCAAGATTCTACGACCACAGCCAAGATCCAAACAGGACACGACCCTGCCACCCCTCTCCACTCCAAGGAAATCGGGGCTAATTTGGAGCACACAGAGTCTTTTGCATTTATGATGCCCTCAGCATGAGTTACTACAAAAAAGAAACCCAACTCTAAATAGGATGTTTATTTTCTTAGAAGACCCAGAGTCATAATGGCCACAGACCTCAAACTGTTTAAAATCTTCACCCAAGCAGTACTGCGTTTTTGTTCCACCTGATAGTTCCTTTGCAAAGCCAAAAAAAATGAGATTTTGGCTACAGCAAGTTGCAATACATTGTATTTTCTCAATTCGACTGCAGGGCCATCACGCATTTCCTAGATAAACATTCCTCCACACCAACTACCCATGATCTAAGGTGTCTCTCCCCACCCATAAAAAGCCTCATGTGACCGCAGCCAGCAAATCCTCTTCAATAGAGTCTCACCGAAAGCCACCTATTACACCAGCTCCTTTTTCCTTTCCCGATTCGCACCTCAGCAGTGGATGTTTCCAGGTCTGATAATCACGTTTTGAGGACCAGATAAGAAAAACAGACAACACCCACCCTTGAGCCCTTGGCAGGAACCATTCCCGGCTCAGCCTGAGCTGTGCTGCAGGCAGGGTCTCCTGGCCATGTTGTTGTTCTCCATGGCACGTTCGCCGTATTCCTTCTCCTCCTCCCAATCCCAACATGAAATTTGCCTTCTCTCCTGCGCCGTGGCCCCGCCGCACCCCCCAGCAGCGCTAATTAAACCTTCGCCATCTATTTAAACCCTCCAGATATTCCCTTTTTCCTCGCGCTTATTTTCACCTGTGTAAAAAAACCCCACGCTCGCCACCATCGCCTCCTGAACTTCCCGACCCAAACAGGGGGACGAGGAGCTGCCTCTTCCTCGCAGAACGCCCCATCCGAGCTCCGTCTGCCTCCTCATCATCATCATCATCATCATCTCGCATGGCTCTTTTGCATCTCAGCCCCCAACAGCCAACCCACGCGTGTAACAGAGAGGGATGCGGTGTGTCATTAGACTCCACACACGCCTTACTCACCCTTCGGGTGGGGGGGGGGGTTCGGGGGGTGCCCGCAGAGCGGGGGGCGAGCGCGGGGTGTGTTGGGGCGAGCGCGGGGTGTGTTGGGGC